GGTAAAAATAAACTTTGAAATGAGACTATAGGGCACGGCAAATGTGTGTGATTTAGTCTTAGGTTTTGTTCTTTCACACACATTGGTTTTTGGAATTTGACACTGGAAAAGGTCAATTTTCATTCCAACCCCAAAGAAGGGCATTGCCAAAGAATGTTCAAACTACCACACAATTGCACTCCTGCTAGCAAGGTAATGCTCGAAATCCTTCAAGCTAACCTTCAGCAGAACGTGAACCGAGAAATTCCAGATGTACAAGCTGGATTTAGAAAATGCAGAGGAACCAGATATCAAATTGCCAACATTCATTGGATTATACAGAAAGCAAGAGAATTCCAGAAAAACATGTGCTTCACTGACTATGTGAAAGCCTTTGACTGTGTGGATCACAACAAACTGGAAAATTCTTAAAGAGGTGGGAATACCAGACCACCTTAACTGTCTCCTGAGAAACCTGTATGAAGGTCAAGAAGAAACAGAATTGGACATGGAACAGTGGACTGGTTCAGAATTGGAAAGGAGTATGACAAGGCTCTATATTGTCACTCTGCTTATTTAATTCACCCAAGATAGTTTCTTGGGCAAACTCTGGGAGATGGTGAGGGACAGGGAAGCCTTGTGTCCATGAAGTTGCAGAGTCAGACTCGACTGAGCGACTGAATAATGACATGATCTTGAACATTCTCTTTTTAGAGCTCAATCAGAAGTCTAAGTTTTCTACCACAGTGTTGATCTTCAGGTTTAACCTATTAAAGACAATATTGTTTTCAAGTTGTGGTTACGTATCAGTATATAAACTGTATCATATATTTAAACAGTATAAAAGAAACAGTTTACAGTAGATGATTTATCCAAACATCTATAAAGTAATTGAATTTAGATATCCTAAATATAGTTAGTTTCAAGTACTTTAAATAGTTCTTAAAATTCTTCAACTTTTAGTCTGTATTTCCCTTACCCAAATTTATTGATATTGGAATGCTGGGCCCCAAAAAAATTAAATTAGAGAAAGAGAAATTCACACATGTATGTGTATCTTAAATTTCAGTAATTGAGTTATTGTGTTCTTGGATTTCTTTGGTGGTATTTCTTATGTAAATTTATAAATAGTCATTAGTGGATGTACTTTTCTCACATCTCATCTCATTACTTGTAGTTACTGCTCTGATGTGTTTGAAACATCATCCGTGAAAGCACATTTGTGATGAGGTGATGTCACTAGTCTATTTTAGTTAATGTATGTTTGTGATATATAGACTTGTTATCTGTTTCATTAATATGCTCTCTAGGAATCATGTTTTAGAGTAGAAAATACTGATTTAAAAAATTCTATCATCCTGTATTAAGAGTGTTGTAAGTAAGGGTTGTATTTGTTATTAAAGATAAGTAACAATTTTTAACTGTAAAAAGTTTTAATTGTAAAACATATTAACTAGTTATAATAATTATAAACCTACATTAATGTAAAATAGTGACCATAATATTGCATATGTGGGTTATATAAGGTGTCATTATATTATAAGATGTGCATGATATATATATAACTGTTATTCTACTAAGCTATAAATCTGGACTATCTAAAGCTTATATGTGAATATAATAAGCATCAGTTATCATTTTACTAAGTATTTTTGCTTAGCCCATTAGAAGTCTGGAAAAAAGGAGATTATGATAGGAGATTACTTTATGGATAGCATCTCTTAAAGAAACTGTCAATGAAAATTTGAATTTCTATCTTCTTTCATCTTTTACATATGCTTTTTAAATTATTTATTTATTTATTTTTGGCTGTGCTGGGTCTTCATTGCTGCATAGGCTCTGTTTAGTTTTGGTGAACAGCGGCTCTTGTTTAGGATGATGTGCAGGCTTCTTGTTGCAGTGGTTTCTCTTGTTGCAGATCAGGCTCCAGAGTGCTAGGGCTTCAGTAGTTGTGGCGTGTGGGCTCAGTATTTGGGACTCACGGGTTCTGGAGCACAGGCTTAACAGTTGTGGTGCAAGGGCTTAGTTGCTCCCGGCATGTGGGATCCTCCTGGGCCAGGCAATGCACTAGTGTCTCCTTCATTGGCAGGCGGCTTCTTTCCCACAAGCCACCAGGGAATCCCTCCTTTATTTCTTAATAAATTTCCTTGTAATACGTAGAGGCAATAATAATTCTCTGTAACCTATAGTTATCCATTGGACTTTGAAGCTGCTGATCAAGGCTAGTAGGTAGATTTCAGGTAGAATGCAAAAGGATTCTTTCTTTATGAATGGAAATCCTACTACCAGGTGCCAGCATTCATCTCGCGCAGGGGTCCCCAGCCTCTGGGATCTAATGCTTGGTGCTCTGAGGTAGAGCTGATGTAATGATAATAGAAGGAAAGTGCACAGTAAATGTAGTGCACTTGAGTCATCCCCAAACCGGTCCCCCCAACCCTGGTCCATGGAAAAATTATCTTCCAGGAAACCTGTCACTGGTGCCCAACAGGCTGGGGACGACTGACCTCAAGTATGTTTTGAAAATTCTGTGGAAGGAATTAACATGGATCCAGTCACTTCCCCCTTTCCACAGCGATTTAAATAACGTTGACCTTTGTTTAAAAATCGCAAACTCATTTGAAAATGAATCTGCTGCTTTGCATTATTAAAGCTACTAACTATTTAAATTGTATTTTAATTTTATAGAGCTGCTCTTATGCTTATATTGAATTTTCCAGGACTAACCAGCAGAATTTGTCAATTTGGGGACCTTGAAGTTATCTTAAATCTTTTAAATGAGAGGTTCATAAAATTGTTCAGTTTTTATTTCTGAATACCCTTTTTTGTGGTGCCTTTAATGTAGCTTTCACCCGTCTGTTTGTGTGTTCTAGAAGGGTAGAAGCGCTGCACGTAGTCATTAAGGTGGAATTGTTTTCTTAAGGTGGAGGCGGGCTCGTTCCTTCCGAGGGCAGTAAATATTTTCGACCTTGCAGGCCACATGGTCTCCGTCATAACTACTCAGCCCTGCTGCTGTAGAGTGAAAAATTATAAACAATACAGAAAGAAATGGGTGTGCCTTGTTTCAACAAAACTTTATTTACGAAAACAGACAATAGGCTAATTTGGCAATGAACAGTGTTTCATCAACTCCTGCTCTAAATTATTGAGTCTGTGGTCTCTTTAAAATCAGGTCATTTTATGTCCGGAAGGGAAGAGGCAGTTTTTGCTTTTTGCTTTATTATCAATAGTAGTACTTTCATTCTGAATGCTAATAGAATAGAGAAAAGAAAAGATACTAAAGATACTGTAGGAGGGGATTGGTTAACTGGATTTGGAGAGATTGCAGGCTGATCTATAGATGTGTGCTCTATACCTGGGAAAGATTGAAAGCAGGAGGAGAAGGGTACAACAGAGGATGAGATGGTTGGATGGCATCACTGACTCGATGGACATGAGTTTGAGCAAGCTCTAGGAGTTGGTGATGGACAGGGATGCCTGGCATGCTGCAGTCTTTGGGGTCGCAAAGAGTCAGACACAACTGAGTGACCGAACTGAACTGATATCTGGGTATTCCCACACTGTCTGGCTTATCATGAGCGCTGCTGGAGAAAGTCAGGAAGCTGTTAACTTGTGCTTGCTCACCTCAGTGCTACCAATCAACCCTTTTATTTATCTCTATTTGACTCCTTGTCACATTCCTCACTGCATCTCTTCCAAGGTCATTCTTATCCCCTCATAGCTTGGTCTCAGCATTTGATCTCTCATCTCTTACTTAGGAAAGATGTGTGATGTCATTCAATATGAATCTCTTATGTTCTATGTTAGTTCCTTTTTTAAGGTAGGAATGAAAAATGATCATTTTTATCTACAATTAAATGAATTTTTAATTCTCAATTTAATATGCAGACTGTGTAAGTTATTGTAAAATATTTGCCTAAATAAGTATAATTAGTCGTGAACAGCAAAGGAACTCAGCCATACATATACATGTATCTATTCTCCCCCAAACACCCCTCCCACCCAGGCTGCCACATAACATTGAGCAGAGTTCCATGTACTATTCAGTACGTCCTTGTTGGTTATCCATTTTAAATATAGCACTAACTGCTGTTTTTTTTTTTTTTTGGTTTTGTAACACTTGAAATAGATTAAACAGAGGTTGTATACTATCATTTTGATTTTGTTAGATGTTAATTTAGCTCAAATATTTAGAAAGTTTGCCACATGTTTGAGTAGTAATTTTTTTTTTTTAGTTTATAAAAGAAAAACTAGAAATCTGAATGTTTTGCATTGCTTGCTTTAAAATTTGTCACAGTGGGCATGTAATCAAGTGCAATTTTGATTGTTTAGAGATGTTTCAGGAACCATGATTATGTAGCAGTCTCGCACACCTTTGGGTTTCTGTAGTGGTGAGACCGTTTTCACTGCCCAGGATGGATGGGCTGAAATGGCAGGAACATGACTAGAAAGCGCACATTACATACATTTCAGTCAGCATGTTGTTAGTGACAGGTGCTCGATGGTTGTTGGGATCCTTGTCAACAAAGAGGATCCTCTGACATTAAAGTCACCAGCTCCATCCTGATTTGGGGTGGCTATTGGCAGTTCCATCAGGCTGCGGCTGATCAGTGAATGTCAAAGCTGTGCTGTTCTATGCTGTCACCAGCTCTTGGTATTTTTTTTTTTTTTAGGGAGGGATGGTTTGGCTTATCTTGTTATTTCGTCGTCACCAGGCTTTCAAATTGCTTACCTTTGGGAAATGCACTGAGCGGTCATAGGGAATATAGGTGTCTTTAGGGCACGCAAAGTCATATACAGAGTGACGACTTACGTGGAGACGAGCAATGATTACCTTGACTCCAAGCCAGTCAATGGTGTGAACACCTGGGGACTCATTAAATGGCATTCGTGGTGTCTGTAACTGAGGTTTTGAGCTCTGTTTCAGGAAAAGCAGTGACAGCCCTAAATGTCTAATTGACCTCTTCTCTTTGTTTCACTCTTTCTTTTTCCTTATTTGTGTCTGATGTGGGTCCCAACGGCAGCAAACAGCCCTGCTCAGCATTTTGAACTTCTGTTCAGACCTTCAGCACCTCAGTTTGGGTAGTTGTGTCATGGTGAGTATTGGAAAATTCTTTTTTCTTCCCATGGGTGAATTTTATCCCGACTCACCCCACACCCTCCCGCAGCTTTTCAGATTTATGGTTAACAACTGTGCACCCCACTTTCAAACATTTTTCTTAAATCGAAGAGTTTGCCTTTGAAACATGGACATTACTTATCTGTGAGAACAAGGAAAGAAGTATAGTGTGGTGTAAAGTGGGTGGTTCTGCCTCAACTAAGATGGTATCTCAGACAAGCTATTTACCTCTCTGGGCTTCTTTACAAAATAATAAATCAATCATACCCAAATGTCAGTAGTTTGGTAACTTTTTCATGAGGCTAATTTTAGTTTTTGAGATCTGAGATTATTTCCTGGAAATTTTGATGATAGTAGATAAATTTATTTTGTTTGCTTTTATGTTTGTTTTACTGTCCTTATTGAGTAAGATAAAATGATGGACACCAGCCTATGTTGTTGCTCACGTATTTTTGAAGCGTCACTGGTCTGTGAAATCCAAAAGTCTAGGGACTCTTGGAATAAATAATCTTGAGATTTAAAATTGTAGCTTACATGTCATTAAAAGAGTTCATGGCATGAATTAAATGTTTTTCAACTAAATGGCGTGGTTAGTAGTGCTGACACTTAAGGGACAGCAGAGCCCTTGGTGCGTGTGTGTGTGTGTGTTCTGTGTGTTCTGTGTGCGTGCATACACACTCAAAGGAAGTGCATCTCCCAGTGTAACTGACTGTGGAGCAATCGATTCCTCTTTATTTTCTTACCTGCCCCCGCCCCGCACACACACACTCAAAGCAGATTCAGGAGATCCTAAATCATTCCAGTTTTGCATCCACTTATTAGGAAGACCTTAATAAGCAGGATGGTTGCAAGATCAAAGTTTCTTAGGCCTTGTTAAACCACATGTATAGACTCAGGTGGGCTTCTTTGGTGTCTCCGACCGTAAAGAATCTGCCTGCAGTGCAGGAGACCTGGGTTTGATCCCCGGGTTAGGAAGATACCCTGGAGAAGGGAATGGCTACCCACTCCGATAGTCTTGCCTGGAAAATTCCATGGACAGAGAGCCTATCGGTCTACAGTCCATGGAGTTGCAAAGAGTCAGACATGACCGAGGGACTAACATTTTCACTTTCATAGGCTCAGGCTCATCTCGGTCTCTGGATCTTGGGAGCCTACTCACTCAGCATTAAGTTTTGTTTACTTCTGATCAACTTTTTACCTTAGTAAGCCATTTCATGGGCTTCTGTTGGGTCCTTCTAGTTTCTCTTCTAGATGAGCTCAGTGACATTCCATGGCACTTTCTGTGACAACACCAGCCAGTTACTGTCACTTGGATCTTTGCCTATGGTTAGCCCGCCTTCTTTAGATTGGTAAGGACCCTGTTTTATCTTTGGCTAGAGGTTTCTGCCTGTTAATTACCTCCCCATAAAGTAGAGCAGCATTCTCTAGAAAAACAGGCCTCTGATCACAGGCACTTTAGAGTTGGAATTATGTATGTTTATAGTTGGAATTAGGTGTAGTAGCAGGCAACATTTTCCAAAGTTGACCTATGGAACATTTGTCTTAAAAGATATTCAATTTAGAAGGTTGTGTATTTATGGGAGAGAGTAGGGCAAATAGAAATTCTGGCTCAAAATTAGGAAACATGCTCCTATATCCTCCTCCTGACATTTTCAATAGTATGCCCTACAATAAAGAGACAGTTTGCCTTTGCTTAAGCCAGTATTTTCTAGCTTTTCCTGACACTGAACCTGTTTTTCCATATTACATCTATGAATGTGTCCCACTCATTCCCGGAGACCCTGGCAGCCGCTACTCCCTCCTTCAACCCCTGCCACTATAATCACTCTCACAGCACCTTGTTTTATTATTTTACTTATCACCGTCTGAATTTATTGTGCTCACTTATCTGTATGTCTTTCCAAGAAATGTGAGCACAGTATTTTTTTTTTTTTTTTGGTTCACGGTTGTTCCTGATGTCTGAAGTAGTGCTGGCACATTGTAGATGAAAATATGAATAAAGAAATAAGCAAAAGGAAGTAATCATTGGAAATGTTTGCTGTTTCATTTCCTTTTGATGTCTGGTGATAATGCCAATACCTGATTATAACAAAAGCAAATAAAACTCTTAAAAAGAATCTGTTTAAAGAAACATCATTAAAACGGTCAAAGTCCATGAATAGCAGTGTTTAATTCTTGATTAGTAGAAGCTTTTCCCATGATCATGAGTTAAATCACTGGACACCTCTGATAACTGACAACAGCTAATGTATCACTATCTAAATTATTTTCAGGTTCCATTTTCAGTCTCCAAGGACCTCATTTAACCAAAACTAGTATCCTTATTAGTACTGTCAACATATTCACTTACTATTTTAGAGCCTAGCAAAGTATAGGCCTTTATCAGGGAGATCTTACATACCTATCAAAGTGGCAACAGCACTGTCACAATGGGAGGCACACAAATACATCGAATAATCCTCAGATTCTTCCAGAGCGCCTGAGGATTTCAGGCTGCCTTTGGATTTAATTCATTAACGTCCTGTCAGGAATTCTTTTAAGTGGATTTTTAAGGACGTGATTACTCTTGCTGTTTTATGAAACAGCGGCTGCTCTGGGAGATGAGTGAGCAGATCTGTATTATCTGCAATGTGGGGATGTTTACATGGAAGCAAACAACAGGAGATGATTAAGGATGTTTGAACATGCTCCAGACAGTTTCTGTTTCTGAGCATAGTGTGGGAAAGACTGAAATTACTTGATTTCCAGATTGAAGACTATGATGTGACAGCTAGCATGATAGGAGCCAAGTGTAAAAAACTCCAGACTCTGGATCTGTGGAGATGTAAGAACATCACTGAGAACGGGATAGCAGAACTGGCTTCTGGGTGTCCACTTCTGGAGGAGCTTGACCTTGGCTGGTGCCCCACTCTGCAGAGCAGCACCGGGTGCTTCGCCAGACTGGCACGCCAGCTCCCAAACTTGCAGAAACTCTTTCTAACGGCTAACAGGTCGGTGTGTGACACAGACATCGAAGAACTGGCCTGTAATTGTACCAGATTACGCCAGCTGGACATATTAGGTAAGGTGCAGTCTGTAAGTTTTGTTTTAAAGCCTTGACATTAAAGCTAACCTCAGACATTTTATAAAGAAAAAAAAATCTTGGATGCAATCAAAATGTTGTTTTGATAATTATGAATGTCCTTAAGTAAGAGAGGGAGGGCAATAACAGAATTTTATCATTGAACTTATCAGAAAGCTCTGAATAATCCTTAGTTCTTGATCTAGTGAGAAGAATGAGAGTTTGTATGAGCCGTGTTCTCCATTTTTATTGACAGATAAGAAATAATTCATTTGTATAATGAATTCAAGACACACACACACACACGGCTTCTTGATGTTAAATTCTTGATTAAAGAATACTGTAAGTCTCTATCCCTGATGATTGTGCTTCTAGGAGTAGTTCTACCCTAAGGCAGAGCTATTGAAAATCCTTCCCAGTTCTGGGATTCCTTGTGTCTTTATTGCAATTTACAGCCAGAAACTGTGTGATATTTTGTTACTTCTGATGTTGGCCAGAATTGCTAGAATGCCACCATTATAATTGCCCACACAGTTGTGAACTCAAAACACTTGCACTGTGTTTCTGGTAATCTATTAATACTAATAGATTAGTCCTTAAAGTTCTAGTTATATCTTTTCCTGTTTATTCAACATGTAACCAAAGGGAAACCTGAAGCTTTTCAGCACTGGTGTTTCTGGTTTCACTTAAAATCTCTCCACAGTCCAGGCTTATGGTACATTTGTAGGTGTTGCTTATATAGTCATATGTTACTTATCCAAGTTACTTACAGGCAGAAATTGTTTCTTAAAAACTTAGGAAGGGAAAATTAAGCCTATGGGATTAATAGTTACAAACTAAGTAACAAAGATATATATGCTAGAATTATATCCAGTATCTTATAATAACTTATAATGTAATATAATCTTCGAAAATTACTGAATCATTATACCACATACCTGAAACTAATACAACATTATAAATCAACTATGCTTCAGTAAAAGTAAATGCATTTTTAAAAATCAATAAAAGAAACAGTTGGTTAACAAAAACTTAGGAAGAACTTCTTGTCTGTTACATACACACCTTCTGCTGGATCCTTCTGTGTTATATTCTCCTTCATCTTCATAGCTCAGAAAGCAGGATATCATTGCCTCTTCATAGCTGAGGGTGCTGGAGCCGGCAGTTAACGTGTAACAGGGCGAGGGTCAAGTGCAAGGATTTTGACCCCAGGATCAGTACTGTCTTTTCAAAACACCAAAACTTGCTTGTTTCTTTTCCTGCCTATTCATGTTCTCCCTTGAATTAGCCTAGACTTTTTTATAAGATAAATATTTTGAAATGTTCAAAAAAAAAAGTCAAAGTCACAGGGACGATGAGAAAAAGCAGCCAAAGGCCTTTTAAAATAATCATGAATTGCACCAGGCTTCACTTCAGAGAATGGTGCCAGTGTTGTTTAAAATCTATTTTGCAGTCCCCCCTCTAAAAAACCCTCAGATAAACCCCAAAACATACTCTGGAGATGGAGAGTAGCCAGTATCTGAAAACGATGCTACCAAACTGCAAAGATATAAGTTAACACTGATCCCAAAACAAAGCACAGTTGTTATGGACCATGGGTTCTGTTGTCAGGTAGCCTAAGTTAGGTCCATGAATGTGTGAATTACTTGACAGAGACATAAATACAAGTAAGAAGTATCATGACTTCTTTTGAAATATTTGTGACTTGCACGAACAAGGAAGTATCATTATTTATTTTGCTGAGTATAATTATATAATTTTCAATGGAAGATGACCATCATGCAAATATATTGGAGCATCTTATTTCAAATATAAAGAGCAGAGTAAAAAAAAAAAATCACTAATAATAATTCATAATGTTACCAGTGATGTGACTGTATGCTTTATACTGTTCTGAGCATATTTTAACTTATTTAACCATCACCATAACCTTATGAGGTATTAATAGATATATTAGCCACAGAGGAGAAAACAGGTGGAAACAGGTTAAATGATTTGTCCAGGGCTCCTGATAGTAAGGAACCTGGACTTGAACCAGAGTCTCTGCTAACCACCGTGCTGTAATTTTATGTTTTTTGGTTTCTTTTCACCATCTAGTGTTAGAATCCTTATTGTTTTCTTTTAAAAGGGATTCTTAGTTAAACTATGCTGATATTCATTATTTTATTTGTCATTTTGTGATTAGCACATATGAACATTAAGTGGCATAGCTTCTTCCTACTAAACGTACTTATCTAATAGTACAAAGCTGAATAAGATAGAGTCCCTGTTTTCAGAGAGTTGATAACCTAGCAAGAAGGAGTAAAACAAGCATAAAAATAACTGTAATGCAAACTAGAAGCAAGTCCATCTTGATGAAGCTCAAAGCAAAAAGAAATATATATATGATCAGAGAAATAAGGAAAGGCTTAATTCAAAAGATTGATAGGGGACTGCCCTGGTGCTCCAGTGGTTGAGAATCCGTCTGTCAATGCAGGGGACACTGGTTCGATCCCTGGTCCAGGAAGATCCCACTTGCTGCGGGGCAACTGAGCCCATGTCCCAACTCCTGAAGCCCCGTTGTCTTAGAGCCCATGCTCTGCAAGAAGAGAGGCCACTGCAGTGAGAAACCCACGTGCTACAGCTAGAGAGTGGCCCCTGCTACCGCACCTAGAGAAAGCCCATGCTTAGCAGCAGAGATCCAGCAGAGCCAAAAATAAAGATACAAAATAATTTTTTAAAAGGCTAATAGGTATTTGAAAGATAGACTTAAAAAGTGAGCAGGAAAGTGGGGGAGGAGGGCATTTTAGGCAGAAAGAACAGCATGAAGCAAAAGCAAAGTAGTTGAAATCACAGGATATCTTTAGTGAACAGGCAGTCTTATTTGATCTAAAATGTTGGTATAATGGAGGGTATCATGGGGAGTTTTGAGCTCCAGGATGAGGAATCTGCACAAAATTAAACAAGAGCTCTTACTGGGCTTCAGTTAGTGGTATGAGGGATATATTTAGAGCTATGTTTTAGGATTCCTTACCTGGAAATGAGTAGTAGGTGACTTGGAGAAGGAAGAGATCAAAATCAGAGAGACTGGCTGCACTAATCCATCTAACGAGGGTCTACACCAGGGTAATGGCATTGGGAAATTAGCCACCATCCCTCGTCCTTTGGTTGATGGACAGCTATTGAGCATATATTGTGTTCGGCCTTGTTTTCAACATGGGAGATACTCAGTGCCCTGAAGGAGCAGGCTGACTGAAAACAGAACTGTGTCCTGAGTAGACAGCAAAACAGCAGCACAGGGCGTCCTGGAAGCGTGCGTCAGGGGACGCCGGCCAGTTAAACGTTCAGTCTCTGACTTCCTTCCCTGACGTTCTCTGGCTTGAGGAGCTCCGAATTTATCAGGAAAGACTTGCCTAGTGGCTCCGTGGTACAGAGTCCAAGCTGCAACGCAGGAAACACAGGTTTGATCCCTGGGTCCAAAAAATCCCCTGGAGGAGGAAATGGCACCCACTCCAGTATTCTTGCCTAGGGAGTCCGATGGACAGAGGAGTCTGCTGGGCTGCAGTCCATGGGGTCACAAAAGAGTTGGACACGACTTAGATTCAAATGACCAAGACTGGCAAGTAGACAGTGGTCACAACCCTAAGTGAAAAAGTTCACAGGCGTCAGTGAAGTTTCCTGATCTTAAATAACGAAATCCCCCTCAGGATAGCTTAGAGTATAGTGTTAGTCTCAGTCATGTCTGACTCTTTGCGACCCTTGGACTGTAGCCCACCAGACTCCTCTGTCCATGGAATTCTCAAGGCATGAATACTGGAGTGGGTGGACATTTCCTTCTCCAGGGAATGTGCCCGACCCAGTCTCCCACATTGCAGGCAGATTCTTTACCGTCTGAGCCACCAACTAAAGCATACGAAAAAGACAGTTATCCTGAAGATACAGGTGTCCGTCTCAGATCCCATGGGTAGAAGCTGGCTGTGGTCAGACCTCAGGAGGGACTGAAAACTGTCAAAAGGCAAGGGGGCTTTAGCTCTTTTTCCTGCCTTTTCCTGTCTTGCCCGCCGAGGCCCCCGGCCCCGATGCCCTCCCTCTGCTGCCTTAGGCTCTGTGTCTGCATCTCCCCCTGGTCCTGCTTTGTTTTTCTCTTGTCATGCTGACCATATCTGCTTCTCGGGGTGCACATGCCCAAATATAGCAACCCTGGCCCAGTTTTCCAGGTCTTTAGTTCAAGAGATTGAGTGGGCACTGGAGGCTTTCAGTTCAGTTCAGTCATCAGTCGTGTCCGACTCTTGGCGATCCCATGAATCACAGCACGCCAGGCCTCCCTGTCCATCACCACACTCCCGGAGTTTACTCAAACCCATGTCCCATCGAGTCGGTGATGCCATCCAGCCATCTCATCCTCTGTCGTCCCCTTCTCCTGCCCCCAGTCCCTCCCAGCATCAGGGTCTTTTTCAATAAGTCAGCTCTTCGCATGAGGTGGCCAAAGTATTGGAGTTTCAGCTTCAGCATCAGTCCTTCCAATGAACACCCAGGACTGATCTCCTTTACGATGGACCGGTTGGATCTCCTTGCAGTCCAAGGGACTCTCAAGAGTCTTCTCCAATACCACAGTTCAAAAGCATCAATTTTTCTGCGCTCAGCTTTCTTCACAGTCCAGCTCTCACATTCATACATGACCACTGGACAAACCATAGCCTTGACCAGAAGGACCTTTGTTGGCAAAGTAATGTCTCTGCTTTTTAATATGCTATCTAGGTTGGTCATAACTTTCCTTCCAAGACTAAATCCCAATTCTGAATTCCTGGAGGATCTGCATTGGTTTGCCACAGGGCTGGTCACAGTCAGGATAGCAGTATAGTCACAGCTTCTAGAGTCTGTGGCGGGGAGGGGAGGAGATAGGATTTCTCACAGCAAAAGGCATAGACTACTGTTTCAGAAACTTTAATCCTCATCCCACAAATCTATACGCAATACCATTGTGGGTTTTTTTCCCCACTCCCTAGAAAATCTGTAGTTACAACACATGACATCTTAGAGCCTAGTCATATTTGGTATGTACTGAGTGCCTGCCATGTATCAGGTGCTTTACATAATTTATATGATTTATATTCCATCTGAATACCCCATAATCACTTGAAATTTATTATGAGCTAAATAGTACTCATCAGCCATCATTTGTCTTCCAGTCGTGCCATTTTATACTTACTGTAAAATGTATCAAGTGGTATTGTACGTATTTGCTTTCAGCTCTGGTCAATGAGTTCTTTAAGGCAGGCACGTGTGTTACTCATCTTTGTGTCTCTAGTTCCCTGAGACAGAAATTTCTACAGGGTAGTCGCTCAGTAATTGCACTGCATGGAACTAGAGGTTGAATCATTGTTAAGTATTGAGGCCCGATTTGACCCACGGGTTCAGGAAAATGAGATGTGCAAACAGTTTTGAACTGGAATGAACAGCAATAGGGAAGTCTGGAGGAGCTGATTGGAAAGGGTGGGAGGTAGGAATGAAAATCAAATGGGTAGGTTATTGATGAAATTCAGGTCCTAGATTCACCAGCTTGGCTGGAAAAAAACTTTTGACAGGACAATTTCAATATGAAGTCTTTTAAGAAATGTTTTTAATTCTTAAAAGGCTATTTTAAATGTATTTTAAGTGATTCACAAAAGGAACTCTTCATCAGGATATTATACACATGTTGTGTAATGTTTTGTTCTGTATTGTTTTTAAACAGGAACTAGAATGGTAAGCCCGGCATCCTTAAGAAAACTCCTGGAATCTTGCAAAGATCTGTCCTTGCTTGATGTGTCCTTCTGTTCCCAGATCGATAACAGAGCAGTGCTGGAGCTCAGTGCAAGCTTTCCCAAAGTGTTCATTAAAAAGAGCTTTACCCAGTGACTCCGTGTATGTCCTGTGATAAAATGAATGTGCTTCTTCAGGGTTTTGTTTGGGGGTTGGTTTTATTTCGTTTTTATAATGGTGGGCGTGTCTTAATGTCCCATTAAGACATTTGTGAATTTTAAAGAAAAATGTGGAATTGTCCCTTAAATCGCTGAATCAATGATTTAAACAAATGTTTTCACAAAATAATGTAAGCACTTTCCTTCAAGAATATTTGAGTGGCTCATATTATTTTTATCTTATGTTAATCAGTGGTATAATGCTTTAGTCAGTAACTACATGTTTGATAAAAGTAATATGGAAACATTTTAACTTATTTTGCAAGGAGCACTTTGGACAATAAAGTATCATGATATTTATGCAAAAATAAAATTAATTTTCCACACCTCCATGTAAGGATGCCTTATTAATAATAAGCCTTATGACCTGACCAGTGTTCTGTTTGGTATGTACAAAATTGTCAGAGTTGTGTGAAGGAAGAATCTTATTTTTCATCTGTTAAGGTTATTTTTTAAGTTGATGTACTAATTATTCAAGTTGAAAGTTTTTAGTTTCTCCACTTTTCTTCTGATATATTTATCTATTTTACAGTTGGATAATAACTATAAAAAGATGGGCAAAAATAAGAACAAGAGGTCCTAAATGAAATAATTTTACAACTGCTCGGCAGATGCCTTAAAAATTTGCCAGAGGGAAAGGTTTAAGTCATCTGAATTATATGTGGATTTTATTTATTTGTTTTTTCTGTGCCCCAGTGCCTTAAATAACCAGAAATCAGGTATAGTGGAGGAAACAAAGCAAAGAAACATTGTTTTGTTGATTGTAAATTGATTTAGTTCTGCTGCTAAGAAAGTAGACAGAAAATATTTTGTGGAAAGAAAAAGCAGGGCTGTTCCAAATACCAAACTAATATTAAATGTTTAGTGTAACAAAATTTATTTTCCCACACAGGGCAAAGTGTTAATTTCCAATATCCACACATCCGAGAGTGATCCTGTAGAACTCTGCTGTCCAGCACAGCAGCCACTAGCCACATGTGGCTGTTTTATTTAACTTGAATTTAATTAAAAATTCCATTCCTAGGTTGTACTAGCCACATTTCAAGTGTTCAGTAGTTCCCCGAGGCTAGTGGTTATCATATTGGACAGCACTACTGTATAATTTCTTGTTATAAGATGTAGTCATTTAAGAAGAAGCATATTTGGGTTAAAAATTAGCATAGTTAATATATATCTCTAGGAAATTTTTGAAGATACTCTCAATAGTGTATATAGGAAAGCATTTTTACCCCTACCAAAGGTCTTAAGCTAGTGAATTTATACATATGGGAAATAGTAGGCATTCAGTAAATAGTTATTGAATGAATAAGAATATATTATTGAATTCAGCCATATGTCAAATTTTAAAATTATAAATTACAAGTAGTACTGTGCCTATTCTTTTATAGAATATAAAGAATGTAGTATGTGACATTTAAAATATTAAAATAGTAATCCAGTCTCCTTCACATAAGAAACCATTGTATGAGAGTTGCTGTCCTTTTGATATGCCCCACATCTTCTGTTTGATGGCAGAAGCAAAGGGCAGTAAGAAAAGGGCTTGCTTATTCTCTATTCCTATCTTCAAGCACTTGCTTTTCACTCAGGAATGTAGGTAAGCATTTTAAATGTCTGTTTCAGTGGAGGATGGAATTTATGATTTGACTACCAATTGGGTGAAGTAGTGCTTCTCTCTTAAGCTAACAGCTGTCACTGAATTAATACTTCCCGTGAGGCACTCTTTCCTGTGGATTGCATTTATAACTCGTTTAGTCTTCATAATAACCCTGTGTGATAGATATCATTGGTTACTCCCATTTACAGATGAGGAAACTAAGACAAAGAAAGATCAAAGAACTTATCTCATGACCATAGCTGCTCCTGGCAGAGCCAAGCATACACACCCAAGCCATCTGGCCTTAGATACTGTACGGTCAGTCTGTGCTTTAAAAGTGTCCAGGTGAGGCATCTGGTTCTAGGGCAGAGGTTGGCAAACATTTTCTGTAAAGACCTGGATACTGAATATTTCAGGCAGACCTGGATACTGAATACTGTGGGCTAAGAGGCAAAAAAATTGAGATTATTTTGTAAGTACGTATGTAACTAAAGAGAAAATGAATTTCCACAAAATTTTTATTGACAGAATTCAAAACATAAAAACAATTGAAGTTTTCTGTATTGCAGTTCTACTAACAGAAAGAAATACTTTGGAGTAGGGTAACATTTCACTTAGTTTGGAGTCAGTGTTAATATTTCCTGTCATCAAAATAGAAAAAAATTGATTGTACATATTCATCTGTTAATGTTCATCTGCAGCGAGATTTTACATATTTTGTCTTTGAAAATATCTTTTCATACAGATAAGGATTGCCAAATACATTAATCCATGAGAACATGATTTTCATGGAGCCGATTTATCACTTGGAAGGCATTAATAGAATTTCATTAGGTTCTTTCTTCCTTTGATATTTTTCTTTCAGTATATTACACTGCAGATTATTCACTTCCCGACTCACTTCCTGATTGAAGTTTAGGTGGAAGTTCCTCAACTGCACAATTGAGTAGATTTTGACAAGTAGGTATTTTCTTTACACTTCCATTCAGAGATCCAGAAAACACTGCCAGACCTACTGTTGGAACTCAGAAAATACATCTGCTGCAAATTCATGTGAGAACGGGGCTCCTGTCATTTGTCTTACCTTCCCATAGCACAGGAAGTAATAAAGCAGCTCTGTGTTAACTTTATGATTCGGTGTTAGTCGTCATCAATATTACTTTGTTGTATTAAGTTTCACATATAAGCACTCTTTTGCTCGCTTCACCTCTGGAGCTTCTGATTCAGTTGTTGTTGTTAGTCACTAAGTTGTGCCCGACTCTTTGTGACCCCATGGACTGTAGCCCACCTGGCTTCTCTGTCCATGGGATTTCTCAGGCAGGAATACTGGAGTGTGTTGCCATTTCCTTCTCTAGGAAATCTTCCTGACCCGGGGATGAAACCCACATCTCCTGCATTGTCTGGCAGATTCTTTAACTCTGAGCCACCTGGGGAGCCTTCTGAGTCAGTAGAATTTGCGCTTCTAATACTGGCTAGGCATTGCTGCTCCTGCTGCGCTGAGGGTCACCCTTTGAAAAACACTGCCCTACAGTTCTCCTTAAGTCTGAATCTTCCCCTTAATCCCAGTGAATCCACATACAGTGGGAATAACTACTGTCATATTGTTGTGCACCGGTTCAGTTTTTGGCTGAATTCATTACAAAACATTATCAAGCCTGCAACAAAAGCTAAATTCCAAAGCCATTTAGTTTTCTGTAATAGTAGTTGAGGGCATTTCTTCTAGTTCAGAAAAATCTCAATATCAGCTCTGATCTCAAAAACTCACAATAAAACTACCACTGTTTAGCTGTTGTATGAGAGGACAAATAAAGATATTCAGCTTCTTTATCTGATGAAAAATAGCAGAACTAATGATGGTTAGATGAAGTTCTCCACTGATATTGCTATTCCAGTAGCACAATAACACAATATTAAACCATATATATTTCATGAAGTACTTGTTGATGAATAGTACAGTAAACAATTGTAGGTTTTAAACTGCATTTTCACAAACTTTGTAAATTTGACCAACTAAACCTTTTGTTTTTTGCTCCACACATATTTTTACCACCACTGGTTGTAACCCATCTTAGCAGATTCTACTTTAGGTTATACTGAATTCATATTTTCTTAACTTACTAGAAAACATTCTTGTCTGTTAATTGTTCCATGCAGACCACTCATAGAAACCAACTCTTCAGTCACTTCAACCTTGGCATTGACCCATCAAATAAATAATGATAACTTGGCAGTATCCGTAACATCTGTTGACACATCAAGAGCCAAGGAGAACCACTCAGAATCATTTGCTTTGGTTTTGTATTGACTAATGTTTTTCCCAGTGTTCTCAATTCTTTGGGCCAAAAGGCTAATTTATTAGTCCTAAGCAGGTTTACTTTGGACACATTTCTTCAGCTGATGAATCAAAAACAATTTAATTAACTCACCATTGGTAAAAGGCTTTCCTTGCTTGACTAACAAATGAGCCACTTACAAACTTACTTTGCAGCTTTATTTTCATTTCTTAATTTTTGCAAAGACATTTTGCTGTGATAAGATACCTTGTTTTAAATTTTCTAATTTTTCTGACCATTGCATTCCTATGAATTGAGACTATTGTGGTGAGTGCTTAGTATGGTAATTCTCATGTATGTAATAGTCATTTCAGAGTGGCTACAGTGTCACTGCGTTTTAAACACAATGCTTTGCCATCTAATTCGGTAACAAAATAATCCATACTCCTCTCTGCCTTAAATACATGACACTTGAATTTACTTTTCTCTTTTGTTGTTCCAACTTCATGGGTGTGCACTGGTAATAAAAACTTAAAATACTGTGGAATAACAATACGTGTGGCATTCAGAATGCTGGTAGCAATAACTGTATCACTTCGATTTGTAATGTGCCGAGCAGCAGTGCAGAGTGATGAGAGCATCAGGTAGGTCTCTGTCGCTGCTATTCAGCTCTGCCAGTGCAGTCTGGAAGCCACCAGCGACAAGAAGTGAACACGTGTAGTAACCTTCCAGTAAAACTGTATCTCTAGACACTGAAAGTTGAATTTCATATGATTTTCATGTGTATAATTATTTTGATATGTTTATTATTTGCTTTTTTATAATGGAAATGATAAAAAAACATTTCTAAGTTGCAGTCTGAATTTGGCTTGTGGGCCTAATTTTTGACCCCTTTAGGAGGAGATTCTGAAATCAGTTAATGCAGCTTTGCCCGTTCCTAATTTTATAAATCAGAATCAAGCCTGTTCTCAGCTTTTATCTTTTTCATTTTACCATTTAGATTTTAGAATTATGAACAATATTTTGCTAACTTAAGCTAAACTAAGCTAAGTGAAAGTTGCTCAGTTGTGT